AGAGAGAGAGAGAGAGAGAGAGAGAGAGAGAGAGACTTACCCGTCTCCCCGAACCTCGTTCCTCCCACTTCCCGCCAGTCTCCATCCCCTATCTTCCCGCCAGTCTCCATCCCAACCCCCCATCTTTCCCGACCCTACCCGCCGGTCTTCATCCCTCACTCCCTGAGCCTCCTTCCTTCCACTGCGTACCTCCGTTCTCCCTCCCTGAACCTCCTCCTGAAGATCCCGCCGTGGAAGAACGGACCAAGCCGGAAGAAAGGACAAACCCGGAAGAGAGAGAGAGAGAGAGAGAGAGAGAGAGAGAGAGAGAGAGAGAGAGAGAGAGAGAGAGAGAGACGGCGGCGGCTGGCTGGTACGGCGGCGAGGGCTGGACGATGGTGGCGGCTGGATGGTTCTTGGAAGCTGGCGGTGGCTGCCTGTTTCGTCGGCGATGGCGGCGTCCTCGTGGATGGCTGAGGGGCTGCTGGGGAGATGTGACGGGCAGCAGCCGGCGGCTTCCGAACAGCACGCCCTCCAGATTCAAAAAACGGCCAGTTCGAAAATGCTGGCCCTGCCTCCCGCCACTCCACCTGAGTCTGCACAGACTGTGGTGGGTCCGGCCTTCGACCTGTGTCCGGTAGGGCAAAAACAAACAAAAAAATCGGCCTACTATTTTTCCGGGGCCGACGAGGACCCGAAAAACGTCCTTGGCGGCCCCTTTTTTTTTTTTGATTTTTCATGGGGGGGGGGCGTTCCGGACGTCCAGGACCGGACACCGGACCCCTACATAATGTTTGGGGTTGTCTGGAAACCGGTCCGGACGTCCGGTCGGTTACCATGGAGCTTATTGCATTTATCTGAACGACTGGTCGCGGTTGCATAGGGACGATAAGATGTGATGCGATGTAATAAGGGGAATGGTTGGTGGGGGTGTGGGGAAAAGAGGGGGGGTGGGTGGGGAGGAGGGATTGAATTTTCATCAGAAAGTTTCAGGTGGTATATGGGGAAGCTGACTCTCAAGGGTGTGAAGGGTTCTGCAGTATAAATCCCTGAGACGGTCTACAAAATCTGCCTTCAAAAGTGCTTCAATGCAGAAAAGACGAGCATTAAGAATCATCATCATGGTATGTACTATGTAGTATGTACTATGTCCCTTTTGGCGTGTCCTGTATTTTCATTGTTGCCACTTTTTTTTTGTGGGGTTGCAAACATGTGGGGGTTTGTCTGCTGTTGAATTTTGGATTGGAAGGTACTCGCATGCCATGGGGAACAGCAACGGCAATATCTATAAGTACTGGGAAGCAATCGAGGCAACCTATGGCTTACAGGGGGGCTTTATATGGGACTGGTCTGATCAGGTATACTTCCTCATTCCTCTCCCAAGTCCGTAGCTCTTTTGTACCTGTTCCTGTTAGTGGACTCTCTGATGGACACGCGGTTAACGGAAGGCCGAAAATTCGCCCTTTTTGGCAACAGTTTCGGTGCAAAATTCAGCCAAAATTTCAAAAACAAACTATATGGGCGCATAGTGCAAACATGAAAAAAACAAACAGGCCAAAGACAATGAACAAAAAAACAAAGAAAACACACATAAGACCCTAACACAAAAACACTTTCCGAGTTAAAATAAAGCTTTCAACGAGTCTAACGAAATGCCAACTTTTTCATTATTGATCCAAACATGTCAAAACTGGACACATGACGTACCCTAAAGCACCTACATACCACACTCGAAGAAAAAACAAGAAAAAAAAGCAAAAAATCTGGGCAATATGAAAGTTTCACTGTTTCAGTGCAAAATCCAGCGAAAAAAAAACAAAACAAAACACGGTTTAACACCCCGTTAGCCACAAGCAGTTAACGGGGTACTGAACGATGCAAAAACTACTGGGGCTGAAAGGTGGGGGTCCCCGTTAACCGCTTGTGTTGTTTTTGATTTTTTTCGCTGAATTTGCACCGAAACTGTCGGCGAAAAGGGTGAATCTTCGTCCTTCCGTTAATCGCATGTCGGACCTAGATGAATGAAGGCACACGTGGAGCTTGAAGATTGAAAGAGAGTTCTGTGTGTTGAGCTTCCATGATGTTATAGTATCGATCGGTCCCATTGACATCGATCACTTGCTTGGAGCTTGAAAGAGAGTTCTGTATGTTGACCTTCCATGTTGTTGTAGTATTGATCGGTCCCATTGACATTGATTGCGCACTGACGCAATCAACAGCAGTGATGATCGAGCATCAGCCAATTCAGCTCGCAGATTGTAAAGATAGCCTCTTGCTGGCCCACATCATTGCTTCCCTCGTCTGCAGGGGCTATTGAAGGAGGGGAGCGATGGCGTGAAGCACTGGGCATTTGGTGGCGATTTTGGAGATGTCCCAAATGATTACAACTTCTGTCTGAATGGAATTGTGTGGCCGGACCGAACCCCCCATCCTGCACTTGAGGGTATGTGCCATAACCTGCCTGCAAACATTGTAAAGTTGTGGTGAACTCTAGCTTCCTCTATGTGGTTAATACTCTTCACCTAGGTTTAGCTCCTGGACAGCATGCCGCTTTTGAATCTTTCACACTGCAGTAAGTCTCTCAGAATACGTGACCCACAGTCAGTTACTATATTTACTGCTCTTCACGACAAGTTTGAAATCTCCTTTGCTAAGTTTTCTATCTTGACATCTCTCGTCTCGTATGTTAAACTTCCCCGGCGTCTCTATCGTTAGTATTCTGAACTTCTTCCCTATTGTCCCATTCTGATCTTTTTTGTCGTTTAGGATGGATGTTGAGACCTGGTGTAATTACCAAGACCAGGATTTGCTTCCCTGCTGATTCCATTGACAGCTCGGGGTCATGGAAGCGGTCCATCGTGCTCCTCGCTGTTTCGGTTCTTTATCCTTCTTGCCCTCCTTCCCTCCTCCACTTCCCCTCCACATCTACCCCTCCTCGCTTCCTCTTCCCCATCCTCCCCTCCTCCCCCCCTCTTCCCCATCTTCCCGTACTCCCCTCCTCCCCATTTTTTCCCTCCTCCCTCCTCCCCATTTTTTCCCTCCTCCCTCCTCCTCCCCCTCTTCCCCATCTTCCCTTACTCCCCGCCTCCCCATTTTTTCCCTCCTCCCCCCTCCTCCCCATCTTCCCCCCCTCCCACACACCCACAGGCGTAACTGCCGCCAAGAGCATTATTCAACTCTCAGAGAATATGAGCTGAATGTCTCAGGCTGTCTCACGTCCTCCCGGCCATAACGCGGAGGGGTGTGGGGTTGGTCTGATGACTGTGATGGACGCTGGACCCGGTTTCCAGCTAGCTATTGCAACAAAGGAATGAACAGGAAAAAAAGCTGAAGGTCTGAGGAAAAAAGAACATGAATATAGCTTCCCGTTGACTCTGTCTTCTTTCATAGTGTGCAAGAGGGCCATTATGCCACACGTGGATGTGTGCAGCTCGCGCTCAACCACAATCAACGTGGTGAGCCTTGTACTTGAGAGGCACAGTAAATGGGGAGCTGCAAGAACAAATAAGAGGTGCACCCCAAAGAAAACCAAAGTAAAGATAGCCAAGAAAGGGGTATAACGGATCTGTTGTGCTTCATTTTGCTTGTTATAGAGGTACCCTTTCTGGATTGGCTCATCTTTAGTGCGCTCCACTGTCAACAATGGAGGTAAAGCTGCTTCGATTTTGGATCTACTCATCTGGGCGGAAAAGGGGCTGTTCTGGTGACAGTCCACAATACACACACGCACACACAATTGACGATTGTTAAGTATGTTGCCTTTTGCCCTCCATCCTTTTACGGCCATGCTGTGCCTCTAGTGCCAGCGGCGTGTCTGGAGTGTATTTCTTTGGCTGTGACAGACATTTCTTTGTTTCGTGGGTGTTTTGCTTGCTTCTGATGGGGTGTGAACCGACAGTCTGCAGAGTTTTCCATCTGGTGTGGGTGAGTGATAGTCTGCTTTGATTTTCGTCACAGGTACCTTGAGGGAAGTGGTTGGTGCCCACCTCAGGGTATCAGTTGTCGGGCAGTCGTTGATGCTTAACCACAGCCAGGGTTAAGGTGGAGTCAGTTAGGGGATTCTGCAGATTGTTGAGGGTTCAACCTCCTGATGAATCGGTGAAACTCCGACGAAACAGTTTGTGACAGCCCCTCGTTTGTTGTCCTCTTCTCCCTCTCTGCCTACGGTTTACAGGGCAGCTCTGTTCGACTATATATACCACGACTTCGCTAGCAACCTGCCACGGATTTCTCCGGTCAGGTCGAGCGGCAGTGGTCAGGGCCGTCACTACGCGGCCATGCTGTGCCTCTAGTGCCAGCGGCGTGTCTGGAGTGCATTTTTTGGCTTTGATAGACCTTTCTGTGTTTCGTGGGTGTTTTGCTTGCTTGTGATGAGGTGTGAACCGACAATCTGTTTAGTTTTCCATCTGGTGTGGGTGAGTGATAGTCTGCTTCGAGTTTCGTCACAGGTACCTTGAGGGCAGTCGTTGGTGCCCACCTCAAGGTATTAGTTGTCGGGCAGTCGTTGATGCTTAACCACAACCGGGGTTAAGGTGGATTATCACTTACCGTGGGTGTTTTGCTAGCTTGTGATGAGGTGTGAACCGACAATCTGTTTAGTTTTCCATCTGGTGTGGGTGAGTGATAGTCTGCTTCGAGTTTCGTCACAGGTACTGTTACATGCTGAAAGCCTACACACGGGCCCCTCACGGGACCCGAGGTTGGAATAGGGCCCCCAGGTCGCGTCACCGCAACCTGAAGGCCCTAT